GGTGTGTAATTCAGCCACGTGTGTACTGAAAATTTTGAATTTAGTTGATTCCTTTGTTTCTTGCATGTGCGTATAGGGATTTTTGACTGAAATTTTAAAATTTGAAATTATCAACATATGAAATCGTCTGAACACTATTGCAATAGGTTATCGATGATTCTCTATCCAATACAATTGTTTTCGAGTTTTTTAAAGGTTTTCTGAGTGGTTTGCTAGAGACCGGATCTCTGTAAAACCACTTATAAAACCTTTTTAGAATTCGAAAAGCACTCGATTAGATAGAGCACACAAGATAACCTATAGAAAACGCGCTTTTAAATTTTCCTCTAGCTTGCAGGCCAAAAGTCCACGTGCCTAGTGAAAATTGCCCACTGTGCATCATTCGTTGCACTGACAAAAGTGGTCTTTAATAGGTTCATCTTCATCATTTATATCGAATTTTATGGAGATAAAATAACGAGTACTGCTTGAGTGACGACTTTGCAGTCGGCATCGAATGAGGCAACCATCGTCTGGTGAGACCTGCAGTTCGAATTCGTCCTCGTGTTCGTACAAGCGAGCCTTTGCATAAGCTTTGCTTTGCGGCAGTTGATATGTACCACATGTGTAATCGCGTAGATAGTCTAAGTCAAGTTGAGGAAAATCAAACTCATCATGTAAAGCGAACAATGGTAGCCATTTTTTTCGCAGCGAAAGTTGATCACTGGTTACAAGCTTTTAGCTCTCACTTCGTCCCTTCATCGCATCTGAAACATTCGCTGCGCTGTTGCTTCATGTTTCGCTGATTGCGCGTTGTACAATACAGAGCGGTATTTGTTGAGAGCAGCGGCCATAATACAGGTTACCTCCCAAAGTTTATCAAGAATAACTGATCAATTCTTTCGGAAAAAAATCGCCATTTCTTGAAATGGGCATGGAACGATTCTACCACCCATCTACATTTAGTCACCATTCGAGATTCATTAGCTTCGGCGGTAGAGAGTTGTTTGTCGCTTTTGCCCAAAAGACCAGGCATTTTCACATCATAACCAAGTCACATCAAATTCTGCTGTTACATCGCGAAACCCACGATCAACTATTTGAACATCTCCATCTTCGCACAGTGGTTCAAGATCGGTACATGTGTTCAGGATGGCTTTCCAGATGGATGCATCATCATTTTTCCCGTAAAAAGGACCGATTGAATCCAGTACATAACCATCCCGTAAAACCAAACTCATCATTTTGACGAGATGTCTCGATTTATGACGAGAGTACAAATTACGCTGTAATGTATCACAGAGTATGTACTAAACGGTTAAACGGCAAAAATGTATTGGAATAGCGAAAACATAAAAAGCAGACAATAAAAAAGGAAAAAGCTGAGCGTGAGCGCAAAAACAATTTGAGATTATCGAATGATTAGCTCAACAACTAAAGCTGGTTTCTAAGAAGCTCAAAACGGAACACTTGACTAGTTTTCTACTATCTCGTCGTCAATTTTATACAATCAACTCACAACGGTAATTTCGCAGTTGGACAGAAACAGTTTTCGATAGCGTGTTTCGACAGTGTCGACAAGTGACTGCAGAAAAATTCCTCACAATCGATCAAGCCGGCACTAGTTAGTAGCGGAAATGAAAGCTAATATCCTTACGAATAAAAGATGGTGTTAATTACCGTTGTAGAATCGGAAAAATGAATTTTTATAGAACATTTAGGTGTATATACGACAGAAACGTAACTTTTTAGTACAATCACTTGCTTAGATATGTTTCTATAATAACTCAGGTTACAAAAGGCTCGCTTGAGCAAATATTTATGTAGTCAAATTTAAAAATGTTACGAAACAATAACAGAAAATACATAACAATTCAGTCAAAGCAAAAAGAAACATCCACTTTTTATTACATTTCATTATCTCTTTGATATTTGTCCATTAATTCTTTAATTCGTTTCACTGTTTCTTCATCTTCTGGTCCATTTCGTCTCAATTCTGCACGTATCCGTTCCATAATTAATCCGTTCCATGTATTCCAGAACGTTGTTGATGATCCAAATCTCACGTCACCTTTTGTGCTCATTAAAGCTTTAGCAAATTCACTATTTTGTTCAAATTTTGCCTTGTTTCCGTCATACATCACTTGTACTTTTACAGATTCCCAATCAGGACGAAGTGGATGGACATATGAGCCAGCCATATAACAAGCAGCACCTCTAAAGAAAGAATATTGATGTATGAATGGAAGATTGTTGATAAGTCATGTACAGTGGCGTGAGCTGTTGTGAAAAGTGAGGAAAGCGCATTGGGAAAAAACTAAAATCTCAAAAAAAACGAGAAGATGATGCATCTCATCAGGACTTGCTGCTCATGTACTCACGGTCCAGAATTCCGAACTTTTTCTCTAGCCTCAGTGGTTGTTCCTTTTTGTGTTTGAAAATAGTTTTCAGCACTACAATATTCGATACCATCTACTTCAAATCTACATGCTTGAAAATTGTTTGTTTCTTCGTGACATTTTCCATCTATAAAACTCGGACCACCCATTTGGTTTTTTTCTAGAAAGAAAAATAGAAAATCAGGTATACGCAGCTAGCGCTCTCTAAAAAAAACAGGTATGAGAGAAAGGTAACTTTCTGGTACAATCGATAAAAAAAATGAAAGTGTTCATTAAAAAAATTTGAATGGTACGTTTTGTTCCCCTGTCTTTGCCGAGTATCCTATAAAAATTTCCCAACTGCCAGACTCATCCTAGCTGACTTAGGAGAGAGACAATTTTCAGTTTTTGCCACAGAGAATTTTTGGCAGGATTTTGCTAGAAAAAGGGTTGAAATAGATGTATTCTACATCGTTCGACAGAGAATGATTCGAGCAGTACAGTGGGACTGTGAGCAAAT